TTGAAAATGTTTTCCCACATGCTCATCATGACTTGGGTGCTTTTCATCTACTAGGAAACATAATACACAAGTTTGGGAAAAATGATAAAACAAAAGTGTTGTTTTGGAGGCTTGTGAAAGCTTACAAAAGAAATGTTTTTGAAGAATTGTGGTATAGATTTAGTTCTACTAGGCCGCAAGTAGCAGCGTATCTAAGTGAAATTCCCCGTGCTAAATGGACTAGAGCATATTCGTTGTCGAAACGGTACGATTACATGACCTCGAACAGTGCAGAGTCCATGAATGTTTTATCTGTAGATGCAAGGAAGATGCCTATAATACCCCTTCTTGAGTTCTTCCGTCGTCTTTCACAGGAATGGTGTAACAAGCGTCGCATTGAAGGAGGTATGAATTTAATTTGGACTTTAATTAGGTCGAATAAGTAGTTAGTAAAAATGAAGAGTGTACGACAGGATGGTCCGTTTCCGGTGTTTCAGATGCAATATATCAAGTGCATGATTTCAAACATGGTGGCATAGTTGATCTAAGACAAGAGACTTGTACATGCAAATATTGGGAAGGGACTGGGTTGCCTTGTGGTCATGTCATAATGGTCTTGAAGCACTTGAAAAAAAATAACTTCGGACATCTGGCTATAGATGCTTACAAAATGGAAACGTACCGAAGTACGTATGAGGAGCCGGTTTTTACCCCTTCCAGAACCGTGTGATTGGGAGATTCCTGCTGAGATGATGGTTGTTAAACCCACGATAATGGATACACGTCAAGCTGGTAGACCGAGAAACAGAAATCGTATCCCGTCACAAGGTGAGGAACCTATAGTAAGAAGGTGTAGTAGATGTGATAGTACAACACATAATGCAGCGACTTGTCCGGCATTGGTCCCAAAGAAACAAAAAAAGGCTACAAAAAGTAGTGTGGCATCAGGTAGTAACACAAAAGGGAAAGGGAAAGGGACAGAAGGGACTCAGGAGACGCTAGAGACGCACGGGACACAAGAGACGCGTTGGACGAGTGGGACGCAGAGAGAAGACTATTGTTCAACGTTTGATTTAAATGATTGATGTTGTATTTATAATTAATTATGTTTTGTTTTAGAGGACATTAATTTGTGTACTTTGAAATGGTGTGTTTATTTTAAAGATGATGGGTAAACGTACAACAACAGTAATTAACTTAAGGGAATTGCAAATGATACTTTTCTTTCTCCATTGTTATGTAGTCGTCCCTAATTCTTATTTTATCTTCCATACGGTCCTTTTGGCTACCAAGTTCTATCATTTCTGCATCCTTGTCAGCAAGCCATTTTTCAGACAGTTTAATATTCTTCTTAGTTTTTTTTTATCCATTCCTCATGATCTTTGATTTTTTTTAGTAATCGTCATCCTTTCCTCAACCTCTTTGCACTCCGCCGCAATGAGGTCACGACGTTCAGTGAGAGCTCGAGATGAGTCTTTATCTTTTTTTTGTTGTTCTTCAGCCCATTGTAGTTGTTGCAAAGTATCCTCAGACATATACGACTCTCTTAAATTTGGTGATGGGGCAAGAAAAGGGTCGATCGGATCACAATAGAAACAATCAACTTCGTTGCACGAGCAAATATACAAAGTTGAAGATGAACTCATTTTAAATTTAAAAAAAATTTATAACTCTATACCAAAAATCCAACGACCATCCATGACTATATATAGTCCCTTCCACTCCGCAGAGAGCTGTTGTCAGTCCGCAGAGCTTTTTGTCAGTCCGCAATAATGTTTGTCAGTCCGCAGAGCTGTTTGTCTAGTCGTTGTCATCCATACATTACAATTATGGGAATACAATTATTTATTTAAAGGTAAACATTTTTTTATTAAAAAGTAAAGAACGCCAACAGACCATTACAACTACGGTTAACATAGAACTGAATACAAACTAATATTCGTTGTGATCCATACAATACAGTTCAATTGAATTGTCGTGGAGGTAAGACCACAACACTTTCAACTGGTATTTCCCAATGCCTAAGGGTTGGAATAGGATTGACCGTCTCAGTTTGATAAGCATTTCGATACACCGCGGTACTTAACTTTAAATTAATCATTTGCTGGATTTCTACAATTTCGAGTCTTTGTAGTGAAGCTATAGCATGCTCACAAGGTATACCGCATTTTTGCCATTTACCGCAACTACAAATACCACGGTCTAATTGGACAGATTCGGTTGTTGAATACTTACTCACTTCATATCTGTCGCCAACAATATGCGTAATCCTACAACCATCCGAGTGGATAAATCTTTTATGAATCACCTTAAGTGCATAAGGGGTTAGAAGACCATGAAAATCCCCTGTGAAATGAACTGAATCAAAAAACAAAAATTATGATGTCATAACGTATAATAACATATCAATTGACCATTTGAGTGATGTCATAACTTATAATTACCTCCAAACGCAGCACGTTGAAGATACACTGCTTGCATCGAGTCATGGACCATTTCAATGATTGTTGTTATTGGAAACTCATGCGTGTTTGTTCTTAACCAATTGACAACAACGGGAATGTCAATGAATTTAACATTGAAACGTACTCTTGGAAAACAAGCCCGTACCCATTTTGCAATGGGAATATTGTCAAGCCAATGAAGATCATTCCCATTAACCTCATTTTTTAAGTTGTTCAAACATGCATAAAAATGAGATAAATTATACGCTTTACAAGTCTTCCAGAACAACTGCTCTACGACTGTATTGCTTCCGATGGAAGCGCGTATTTTCTCGGCTATATTTTTACAAAAATAGCCATGATATGAATCAGGGTAGACTCTTTGAACTGCAAAGTCTATAGAATCAGACATATGGCTTATGAAACCAACTTCTGTATTGTCACCTAAACATTCTTTAAGCCTCCTCATGAACCATAACCATGAATTGTCACGGTTTATGGTTCCCAAAGCAAACGCTATGAGAAGGGGTTCATGATTTCCATCTAAAGCAACCGCAATGTACATGGATCTTACATACGCCCCAATTAGAGGTACTTGACCAACGAATATGATTGGTATCATAGACGTGAGAAACGTACGAATCTGTAAGTCAAGATAAGAATATTAGGCATATAACAACTTGAAATAACTAAATATTTATTTACTATAAGGGATTACATACCACGCATCCCAATGCCACGAAACAAATTTGGAAACGATTGTACTGATCTTTCGTAATGTACGTGAAGGTGTTAGGATTGGTTCTTTGCAGATTATGGAAAAAAGTCGGTAGGCTGGAGAAACTTTTTCTTAATACCTGATTGACTGAACTCATTTTCACAACTTTCGACACCTTGTAAAAATGGAAATGCTTGTCCAATTTATAAGGAATTAGTATACATTATTCCGCAGAACTTACTTGTCAGTCCGCGTAAATGACTTGTCAGTACGCGTAACTTATTTGTCAGTCCGCGTAACCTGTTTGAATGTATGGTTTCGTAACATTTGTTGGTGAATTATTTTTCAAAAATTAAAGGATAAATACCATATTACATATAAATAAAGCAATACAAGAACAATACAAAACACAGTACTAGTTAAGAAAACGGGACATTTTCCAAAAGATTCCAAGGGGCTTCATACTCGAAACTCTGTCCGTTGCTAATGGATTTGTATTCTTCTTTAGCCGCCTCCAAGATGTCTTCCTCAGTATCATTCACACGATCGTCTTCAATCTTATTATAAAGATCGTTGAATAACACAACTTCTGTTTTCAATTCATACCATTTTGCAGCTATATCAAGCGTGCTGCGATGGTTTTCTATGGTGGTTTCAGCGTCAGTGTTGAAGGTATTCGTTAATAGGACCCAAAACATTCTATCCTCCAAACTGGTGTTCTCGTAGACATTAATATATGCACGAGTTAGAAGCAAATACTCGTTAGCGGTCCATGGGTTTGAACCCATTGTAAAACATACAAACTACATGAACTAAAATAGATTAGATGAAGTGATACATAATTTTTTGTCGTTTTATATAGACATGACAGTCCGCAAATATCCAACGATCATCCATGACAATATATAGACCCTTCAACTCCGCAGAGAGCTGTTCGTCAGTCCGTGTTACTGACTTTTCAGTCCGCATAGCTATTTGTCAGTCCGCGTTACTGACTTGTCAGTCTGCATAGCTTTTCATCAGTTCACGTTACTGACTTGTCAGTCCGCGTTACTGACTTGTCAGTCCGCATAGCTATCCGTCAGTCCGCGTTACTGACTTGTCAGTCCGCAAAGCGAATGGTCAGTCCACGTTACTGACTTGTCATTCCGCGTTACTGACTTTTCAGTCCGCGTTACTGACTTGTCAGTCCGCGTTACCTATCTTTTTATATATAGTAAAGCAAGTATCTATACGTCCGAATTAGAGGTAAGGGATCATTTCACAAAATGGCATCCAATGTACCAACGTCTTCAAATGCAGCTAATCTGTCTAATGTGTCTGCTCTAACAAATGGTACATCTCCATGGACGACAACAGATGTGTTGGTCCTAACACGATGCTGGATTACCGTTTACGAGGGTCTGCCGGTAATAGCTCCCCTTAATTGCCTTGTTGGTGATGAATGGTCCCGCTTAGTAGCTTTGTTCAACTATAAGGTGGGACAAGGACAAGAACGACTAAAACCCGATATTTTTAGTAAATGGATGGATTTCAAGACTAAAGTTACATGGTACAATCGATGCTACAATTATGAGAAAATGCGACGCTCTGATGCTGATGATGAAGAACTTCTTGAATACGTGAACGGATATTACCTGTTGCCAGTTTGATGAAACTGAGTTCGAGTACACGGACGTTTGGAATCTGAATAAACCATTTTTCATGTAGACGACTCTTTTATTCGTAATGTTCTATGTAATGTTTGTTAGTCGTTCATCTTTTATTTGTAATGTTTTCTGTAATGTATCGTAATATATGTTGGTGAATTATGTTTCAAAAAATAAATGATACAAAAGTTGTTTATATTAAACAAAACTACTAAAAACAAGTATTTCATAATAATGTATACAAACTTCCAAACATCAAGTTATTTAGTATCCCAAATAATATTTGTCATCATATTTTTGTAGAGAAATCCCACATCTCTACATGGCTTATCAGTCTTCACCGGTACCCCCAAAGCAATCATTTCCATATACATGCTTACGAATACTCCACAATCCCCTCTATTAGTAATATATTCTTGTTGTGGCGCGTCTACAATATCAATAAACTCCACAACTGCGTTGTCTTTGTGTCCATCGGGGAAATCCTTCTAGTAGTCAATCGTATCTAGCTCTTCGATTATACTATCCCCAAAACTTTTGAATTCTCCACCAGTCAAGTACGTTGTGAAGTAATTCATACATCGTGCTGAATCATAAATGTGTACTTTCCAAATATCTAAATGTAGCACTGCCAAAAACCAATGGGCATGAGGAACGTTTATGGGGAATAGAACCTGCAAACAAAAACAAATTTAATAGTCATTAATTCGTTTCCTATATAAAATAAATAATTAATAAACTTAACTAACCATATCCACATCCTTCCATTTAGGATGGCCTCCGACACCATTTCCTATATTCCTAAGAAAATGTGTTTTTCCGTTTTGCAAATTAAGTTCTTGAGGGAATATCGTCCACCTAGCGTTCGTCGACCGTCTTTCCATGAGCAAGGCACTCCATATCGCAATATGCTGTACATTTTAAGATAAAAATGTTATAATTTTTTATATAAATTATCGTCTAAAAATGTAGTTAAAATTTATATTTAACGAATGTTACCGAAGAAATTAACCATCCAGCGTCAGTAACTGCAAGTAACCTCGACCAAAACTCCACATCCAGTGTGAGCATATGCAGCCTATGTTTAGTGTTTAGGTTGGAAGAGATCCTATTCCATTCTTTCCAAAAACTCAACGTACTGGCAGCTTCAACACTGTCGAGCAGGAGATGATTTGAAACATCATTACTCTCTTCATTCACAATGTCTTCATTTGCTTTTTCAGGACTCTTCACCACTTTTTTTTTTCTTTGCTTTGGTGATTTTCTTCAATTTTGGTGTGGATTGCAACTAAAAAATTAACATGTTAAATAATTATCAATACGTTAATATTTTAAAAATATACCAAATTTAAAATATGAGTTTTGTACCACTGTGAACGGAGTCCGCTGATACCATGGAACACCCTTCTTTCGTTGCGGCCTAACAATAGGAGTCATTTCTTTTGTGTGATGTTCACCCACGTCCGATGACGGCTCAACATGCGTAGGTGTAGACCCAAATTCCCCCTCCAAACCATGAGTACCTATATCATCATAGTCAAAATGTGTATGATGGTAATATTTTTCTTCCTCCTCTTCATTTATCATCTCTTCCTCCTCCTCTACCTCTTCCTCCTCTCGAAACCCTCTGTCTGGTTCAACATTTGTGTCTGGTTCATCTTTTTTCTGTAATACACGGTCTACTTTAGAACTTAAGTCAGCCACAACGCCTAGTAGACGCTTCACTAATGCCTTTGTGCTCGTCTTCTTCTTCTTTACCAATCTTGATGTGTCGTTTGACATATAACTTGTTTCTATTTCAAGATGTTGCGAGGAAGAAGCATTTGTGGCAGATTCAGTCGAAGATGTTTCTATTTCGGACTTGTACATCCTTCTTCGAGCAGGCGAGGCAACATGAGGTGGACTATTTCGGACATGACTATGTTGCCGTGGGGGAGACTCTACAGGGTTAAGAGTCCAATTGACATAACGAACATAAAATGGCAACATCAGCTCCTCCGGGGTTGCCATGACATTAATAGGTTGGTTGTTAGACTGCAAAAATCAAATTGTTAGTTTAACATGAAAATACATTGGAATTTGTAAATATAGATGATTGTTAATATAAAAACATACCACATACACGTTCATTATTCGACAACATTGAACCCGATTTAACGGTGTTTTACTTCTCCACGCCCTCATCCGTGACAATTCTGCCGGCGTGCGTATATAAAACTTGGTTGCCTCTGGGAATGTCTCCAAAATCAATATCTATGAAAAAAATGTAAGTATCGTTCTATTATACTATAAAATCCATGATACAAACTTATTATATAATACAAAACGAAGTTCAAATTTTTATAGTATAAAAAGCTAAACAATGATAACTATTAAAATGCATTAGAAAGTAACCTTAAACGGAAGCATAAAACCGGGAACGGTATACTTGTGTACTTTCTTCGATTCGGGATTGGCATGCTTGACTTCTCTAAACTCTTCTATTTTCTTAAAGATTCCACGCATCATACGCGAAGTATATTTCTAGAAATACGTACCCCATGCAAACCTGCAATTTTCAATTTATTTATTATAATTAGTGCATTGCATACTACTGCGGGAATGCCTGTTTTAAATGTAATACCTGTTCCAATCATCTATATTATCAGCAAGCTTGTATACTGCTGCAGGAATGCCCGTTTTAACGTCCCGTCCGTGTAGACCCTTCAACATAAAAACAAGCTGGATAAGCATCACATCATCTTCATCTTGTAGTGCCAAATAATTCGGGGACATAATCAAGTATTCTAAATCTTTCAGCCGCAAACGTGCATCAGAAATATCTGGGAACAACCGAGCACGGAGATTTGAATTTGACTGGCCCTTTTCTTCATGGAGTAAATCCACATAAGGACCAACTTTTAAACCACAAATCAGAATATATTCAGTTTCACCAAAACCCAACTGGATCCCCTCTATATCACACAGAAACCTCCCCATTTCAAATATTTGTTGACACCTTACTTCGTGCAACATCATCATATGCACAAGTAAGGGATCACCATGTGGGATATGCATTCCTAAGAATATTAAAAAGGGGGAAGCTTCGAATAATACTCGTTGTGATTGTGTTAGGCGCCGAAAATAGTCTTTAATGATAGTCCCCACCACGCCTTTCAAAGTTAAATCCGCTTTTTGATTGAGATCTTCGTGCTACACAACAAAAAAAATATTATTTCATTTAAAACATTACTAACTGAAAATAAAAAAAAATATTATTTCATTATGAAATAAATAGCAACATACTTAAAAGCAGAAAAATAAAAATTGTGCAAAAACCATTTTTAATGTCATTCCGTGGAGGCTAGAGGTCATTCCGCGGAGGCCTCTCTGCGGAGTGACCTCTAGCCTCCGCGGAGGCCTGCATTGCTTCGATTATAACATTCCGCGGAGGTAACACATCACTCCGCGGAGCACCCTCTGCGGACTGACGTCCCCCTCCGCGGAATGGATCATCCCAAAAAACGTATCTGTGATTTGTGAACCTAAAAATCCTAAATATGTATACATATTCAATGTAATAAAATGGGTTTTCCTCTAATTTGAATCATATTCGACATTTTCGACATTAATAATTAGATGAGAATGTGAGAAATACCTGGGAACCGTATCCATCGGCCATAACATCGGGGAATTCGGGGTCCATCGGTGACGGAGAGAGCTGTGCTATATACTCGATTACGCCAGATTTGAAGTCGTTTGACGGTGCCAGAGTTGAAGTGGTCACCGGAGTTGAAGTGGTCGCCGGATTTGAAGTCTTCGATCAACGCCTATGCGACCCGATGCGGAGTGACGAAGAGGAACGGGGACCAGTGGGGACCAAAAGAGGACCCCTTCGTTTTTCTAAAAAAAAAATGGTTGAAATTATGAAATTACCCCCTCTACGCGGAGATTTCATGGTTCCGCGGAGGTCCGCGGAGGGTCCTCCGCGGAATGTATGTCTATATCGGGAATAATCTTTTTTTATGACTAAATTTAGAAATTGACCCCCATTTTTTTTTGTCTATTTACGGTATTTTCCCTATTAACAAAGCTAGCCATTATAGATGAATAACTCAATATTAATACACAAGTTTTTAGGTTTTGAGAAAAGGATAATGACACAAAAAATATCAAGGTATTGTGTTTTATTTTATTTTATTTTTTTCGAATTTGACATTGAATTAATGTTTGTTTTAAATTGAATATTATGTTTTTCAATTTTGTTTAAATTTTACCATTTCACACGTGGGTCCCACTTTGCTACGCCGAGTGGAAAATATGATGTCAAAATGGTCAATTTTTTTAGTGTTTTTAGAACAAAAGTTGGAAAATATAGTGCTAAAATCCAAAAAGAAAAAACGTAGTGTGCCATTGAACAATAATAAAAATGTTACAAATTTTGAAAAATGAAATGTTCGATTTAAAACAAAAAACTAATATAGGGCTAATGTCATAAAAGCCCTTAAATTTTCATGAAATATTCAGTTTTACCTTTTTGGGTATTTTCGGTTCATTATAGCCGAAAATTTGTATAGATTTTTTCATTCTTGCCCTTTTAATAGAATACACCGTTAGTAGCTAGTTAACTATACATGTGGTGTGCCACATGGCGCTGAATGGGCTGACATGCGCCACATAGGTGCTGAGATGGATTTCCCTTAATTTAAAAAGACGGGTATGTATGTGGAAAACAGGGGGGTTCGAACTCGAAACCTCCTAGACCTATCGGACCGAATGACCTTCCACTAAGCTGACGAATCGTTAGTGTCTTTATTCTTGAAGTTTAATATATAGTGTATATCGCTGACAGATTTTGAATATTATTATTATTATTATTATTATTAATGAAAGTGTACATATAATTATAAATACGTATTTAAATGTATAACTTACATTTTTATATGGATTTATACATTTTAAAAAACATATAAATACATATAATTATGTTTTTTAATGTATAAACATATATAAATATGTATAAATATGTTTTTAAAACATATAAATATGTAAATACGTTTCTAAAATATATAAATACGTTTTTATATGCTTTTTTATAAACATAAGTACCGCTTTTTATACATATAACATTTTTATTTAAAAAAATACATAGCCAAATGATAAAATACATATATAATACGTTAAATATGTTTAAACAAGTTTAGATATATAAAGATCCACTTTTATACGTTCGAAAACGTATTTTATAGTTAGTTGACGCTATGTATAAATATATATAAAAACGTTATGTATAAATACATATTTTAAACATATAAATACATTTAAAGTATATTTATAACTTTAAAAACATATTTTTTAGCTTTAAAACTATATATATATATATATATATATATATAAAATAAAAATAAATAATATTAAAATTAGTAATAACTATAATAATAATAATAATAATAATAATAATATTTAAAACTTTTAGCATTGCATTCTAGATTATATATTAATTTTCAAGACTAGGATCGTAAAAAATGCTCCAGCATAGTGGCAAGTCGCTTTGGTTTTCAGACAGCGTCGGGGGTTCCAAGTTCGAAACTCGCCGTTGTCGATTTTTCCTCCTATATTCTCACATTTTTAAAATAAATGAAATGCCACCTCAACGCTTATGTGTCGCTATGTCAGCCCATTCAGTGCCATGTGGCACGCCACATGTATAGTTAATTGGTTACTAACAGTGTACTCTGTTAAAAGGGCAAGAATGCGAAAATCTATACAAATTTTCGGCTATAATGAACCTAAAATACTCAAAAGGATAAAACCGAATATTTGATGAAAACTTAAGGGCTTTTATGTCATTAGCCCAACTAATATAATATCAAAAGAAAAAAATAAATGCATATCTTTTGTGTCATTTGTAATTTGAGAAATAACCATTTAGTTCGGAATGAGTTATTCAAGACTAATTTATTTCAAAATATAAATATTTTATATTTTGGATTTCGTACAATTTCAGATTTCTAGCAGGAAAAATTATTCTGAAATTTAAAGAATAAGTTTAAAATACGATGAATAATTCTGACAGTTCATAAAAATTACTTCGTTTTTTTTACTAAAATCTATATATATATATATATATATATATATATATATATATATATATATATATATATATATATAGCAAATGGGATACAACACACAAACTTAAAATATAACAGTTAATTGAAAAAAATATGATATTTGACACTTTTTGACATTGTTATTTCAAACACAAGTATAGATAGTTTTTTTAAGAAAGAGAAAATTGCAATATATTACCATAAAATTTTGATTTTAACACAATTATTTTTTTTTCTTAATTATGTCACTATATTTACAAGTTTGTTGCAATATCAACCAAATGACCAGTTTTCCATATTCTCCAAATGACAATTTTTCCCGAATTGCAATAAAGTCATTATGTTTATCAAAATTACGATTTTAACGTCGAGTTTCAAATTGCATGAAAGTCACTATATTACCACAAGTTTTTTGATTTTGGCACCGAGATTTTTTTTTCTCAATTATGTCATCCATTTTCAATTTTGATGCAATGTCAACCAATTGAATGATTCAAGATATGTTTTTGTAGTTTAGAAGCTCGATTTGTACACCAAATAATTGAAGGTCGATTCAATGGTTCAAACTCACTTACAAGTCAGTGGAAAGGGCATAATCACCCTTTCGGGAGGTTTTATTTTGGTTGTAACATCTCGATGTTAAGGTACTTCTAATCTTGGGCTTTATGATTTTAACATGGTTGCAGAAATCGGGATTAATCGGCGATTAATCGTGGATTAATCGTTTGACGTTCTCCAACCGTCGAGGATTAGGGTATTAATCGGAAATTTGGGATTAAT